CTCTCCCTCCCGTTCCAGCAGCTTGTTCCATTTTTGTTTTGTCATTGTTATTTCAGGAGATGCAGGAATTATTGCCTAAATAATTCTATACATTAAACCAGTGTTCTCAGGGAAAAAAACACCTCAAATTGCTACGTATTTTACAATGATTGTTCACCTTCCTGCCTAGTTAGGTTTCTTTTTGTCTTTTTACAGTTTTAACTCATTGGCAATTTTGGAAGCAATGTTTTTGAAAGCTATGGAGGTTCCAGATATCCGCTTGAAGCGGACACCATTCAGAGACAGTCTCGGCAACTTGCACACTTCCATCTCCCACTGGACGAGATTTTCGGCATGGCCGTCCCCGTGGACGCAGAAAAGCAAGAAGCGCTCTCGCTGTTCGTAGTCGCAGTTGTTGGCATCTAGAACCTTGCGGATCTCGCGCATCATGTCGTTGGGATCCATGGAACTGGTGGTTTTCATGCTCCACGTAAAACGCAGAGACCGTGGCTTGGAGTCTTTGTTCTCGTCTTTCTGGTCCCCTGACACGTTACGACTAGAAGATATACATACACAAACATTTTTTGGAAAATGAATGGCTAAAACAAGTTTTATTTTTCTTTTATAGGTCTTGAAAGAACTCTCTCCAAAGTGAGACGTTGTCACTAGAGAAGGTGCCTCCATTGGAATATTTCCTTTGCTTCCTGTTCTAATGATGAATTATCATTTTCGATATCCCTCATCTCAATGGTAACCGCAATAAAAACCTTAGAGGTTTCACACCCTTCATAGCCAAAAACAAAATGATAGTATACGTTCCTTCACGTACACTAATTTGTTCCAAGAAAACCTTGGCCTGACCTAAGTTGGCCATACACCACTAAATTTCTCTCAGAAATCAATTGATCAATGGGACAAGAGAAACCTCTGCACCACATCTACTGTATTGAGGCTGCTAAGGAACCCAAATTTTAGGATGCAGTCACTGTGTGGGCGATAATTTTTCACCCAATTTTTAAATCAACTTGTCAAGCCAGGTTGTGCTTGCAGTGCCAACCACTGTTTGAATTTCAGCAGAAATCTGCCAAAATTCGAGACATCTAAGGGGACCTTTTTTTTTGGACATCACCTGTATAAACCTCTGATCTATATTAGTCTTCCTTCTAATCGCCCTATAAGTTTTGTAACCCAGATTAGATGTTTTGTTTAAAAGGACACTTAAAAGCTAGCAGGCACCAATATCCAGTTGCAGTATAATGTCCCCCCATGTAATTTACAGCTGTAACTGAAGTCCATGCAATCCGTCAGCTTACTACAAGGACATGGAGACTAGCAGAAAATTTTGGTGTTCAGTATGCTTGAACCTGTAACATCCCGACATCAGGGATAAGTAGTATCGGGAGGGCCAATTAAAACAAAATCTTTTCTGGATAGCATTATAACTGCAGCTGTTTCTTCCAAATGTTCACAGGGATGCATCAGTCTTCATGGACAATAGTAAACAGAGGACACACTGAGCTAGTTTTATTAGCATCTGAAGGAGCAAACTCAACAGATGGGTACTCTTGAGTCACCATAAAGGTGCCCATAAACTGTGTGATTATCGCACGATAATCACGGGAAATTCCACGATCATCGCAAAGTGTATGGAAGGCGCGCAACTGTTTTTACTGTACGGTCACGCGTCTTTTGGCTGGTTTGTGGCATGCTCGGGAGACAAATGCCGAACGGGCCTCTGTGCGCACGCGCACACTGCCCGTTCCGCATTGCGGTCATCGGAAGCCCACCCCTCAGGGGGACGGCTTTTTCGATGATCGCAAGTACGATCTGCCTGTCCAAGATGGGCAGATCGTACATTTTTTAAATTACTTTACAACCATCGCAAGACTAAGGTCTTGCAATGGTTGTAAAGTGTATGGCCACCTTAAGAAACTCAGATGATGGTCAAGCCAACAGATTAGAAAAATTAAAACTTTGGCCAAAAGAATATTAGAAAATGTTAAACCTTTGATCAAACTGATAGGAAAGGAAAAGAAAAGATATATTTCTAACATGACAGGTCTACTCAATAAAATATGTTACAATTATCTGTCATCACTTTTCCATTAGTCTGGACAGAAAAGTCACCAGATCACCAAGTCTCACTTCACATAACTAAAAACAGAGCGGACTTTATGCCACAAGGATGCTGGTACCATTTACAAACAAGAATATAAAAAGGTCCTGGAACTGTATTGATCCTTTGTGCTGGTCATTTGGACTAAATATCTTAAGAAAAACTGTCAGTATAGAAATGGGGCAGAGGCAACTGGAGACATGGTTTCAATAGTGCAAGCACCATGTTTGTTATCCTTATCCTTGCTTCTAAACTTAGTGAGTCAGTGTTCTAGGAGGGTCAAACAAGGCAGGTGGTTTAACCTCAATGGCTATTTACCTGTTCTGGGTTGAAAAGCAGTGAAGACACAAATGATCCCTTAACTGGAAATTTTAGAGACATTCAGCACAAAGTGAGTTAATTGAATGCAAGCTAAAGACCGAGGATCATGTATAGCAGCCAGGCACTTGCCTATTCAGAGGGTGGTGCTCAAGGATCAGCCTAATGCCATAGTAGCAGTATTACCAGATTGTTTACAAGTAATTTATAACTAAAACAATGTGCACCTAAAAATATGAATAAATCTCATGTTTGGTGCTTCTCCAGCTCAGTTACTCAGTAAGTACTGAAGCAAGGATGAGAGCCTCAAAGATAGCAGCTCCAGAAAAATAAAGTCTGCAATGGTAACAGCCATATCTCAATTTCAAGGTTACTTTAAATTTAGAGTAACATATCGGGATGATTAGGAAGCACAATGCAAAGGCGCTGGATCTGCGTATTTATTTGAGGGGATTCTTAAAGCTTGTGAATGGATATGTTAAAGCTGAACTCCAGGCAAACCACTACATGTACATGAAATACATATACGGGAACTGTTTTACCTTTCAAATGATTTGTGTTTGTCCATTTGGTCCTGAGATTTGCACAGCTCTGCCATACAGCACAACCTTTCTTGGAAGGGCAGACTTTTTTTTTTTTTCCTACTTCAGATAACACCAACAGGTCTTGTCTCTCACCAGCCAATGATTTCACAGTGGAAAAGCAACACACTGATGAGCTTATATCTGTCCCTCTCCTATCAGCATGTCCCTTGTTTGCACATTAACACTGCAATATAACTGGCTCCTTGTGCGGTTTCTCCACCCTAAGCTTTGCTGTACTGGGGCCACAAAAGGCTGATATCAACTCAAAGTCAAGTACTTTCTGCATTAAAGGGATTGAATGCTGTATTAATACTAAGCTACATTATGCTGTGTGCTTTTTATCTACATGAAGAACAGCTTTAAAATAATGGTAGTTATTTCTAAATAAGCCAAAAGGTGAACAAGTTCATATGGAATTCAGGAGCCAGTCTGTCCAATCCAGAAGCAAGGATTTTATTTTAGGAGCCAGCTCCACTGACAACTGGAGTAAACTTCAAAGTTAGGCGCCAGCTATCTTTTTTAAGGAGCATTGGCTACCTGGCCCCTGGGATTTGTCCTTTTGCCGCACTTATACAGGTTTGCTCCCATAATGCACGGGTAATCATTTCTTTAATAAAGTTTCAAAGTGGTCAAAAGAGAAAAACTGTGTTGCCTCTTGCTACCAGATACCTCCTTTCTTTATAAACCCAAATTGAGTATAACACTGAATACTATAGGAGCACAGGTAAACCATTAGTACTAGTCTTAAATGGGACTTTTTATAAATCAACTCAAATATTCCACTAAAGAGGAGGATTGGTTAAAGAAAAACAAACACTGTTTTTAGCACATTTTGAAACTTTTTTTAATCCCGTCAGCCAAATCCTCAAACATTACTCTATGTACCAATAATTTCTGCCATTGTTGACATGCACGTTACTATAGAAGGAGGTCTAAGTGGTTACGTTTTGGGAGTGTTAGATGTCATTTAAAACCGGTGTTTAAGAGAAAGAGGAGACAAGATACGAAGGAAAATGCCTGAAAAATGCTAAATCCTAAACTTTTATCAGTTTACCTTTTCTGGTTTGTCCCTGTAGCACCATAAGAGATGTAGCTCACACCTAGCTTCCCACAACCTAACTTTCCAGAGTTGCAATTTGGATAGACCAGAGAAAAGTGAAATGATCTAGAGCAGGGTTAGGCAACGCTAGCCCTCCAGCTGTTGTGGAACTACAAGTTCCATGAGTTATTGCAAGACTGACAGTTACAGGCACAACTCCCAGAGGTATGTTGGGATTTGTAGATAAAAGAACAGCTGGAGGGCTGGAGTTGCCCACCTCTGACCTACAGGATGCCTAATGCACTTTCCCAAAATACACAACCTGTTTCACTGGTAGACCAAGTACAGTGTCTACCTACCTTACCCGCCTTCATAAAACATTTTTAAACAAATGACAACAGTATGCATCTTTAAGCAGTATATTATTTTCATGCACCACAAAGCAAAAATGAAAATGCGATAGACAAAAATCTTCAAGAAACTCAAGCTTTTTGTTTTTTGCAAATAAAAGCTGCATGCAAAAACAAACATTCTCATGGAAGGGTTAACTGGATGCTTGTGGGTGAAGGTTAGAGAGAGAAATAAAGATGACTGCCCTCACCTTGAGCCCTCATACCTCCCGTTTCTCTCAGTTTCAGATGGGAGCCTCATTGAAAACATTGTGAAAAAGCAAAGACAAGCAGAAACAAATCTTACACTGGTGTACTAGGACTCAGAGCAATAAGATATTTGATCAGATCAACAAAACATTTTTTTTATGGTCTTTGGAATGCTGCAAATACTGCACAATTACCTTTTGGCTAAAAGGCTACCGCATTAGAGTGCCATTCAGCGAACATATTTGGCCCTGAACATTTCTTTACTGAGAACACAGTTGAGGAAATATCTTTCCGTTATTTGTGGCAAAGTGGCCAACATTGTAAAACCAAAATAAGGAGCAAGCCTATGTCAACCTTCATAGGATTATATTAATTATAGGAATCAGTTCCCATGAAAACGCTGATAATTCAATAAACCTTTAGTCAATAGTGGTTTCATCTTTTTTTTTTAAAGCGAAAAAAAATACTGCGGGGTCTGTTTAAATGTTTTTACACAAGATTCACACATTTCCTAATTGAATTCCCAGCAGGACATGGTGTGAAAGTTGTGTGAACCTTGTATGAAAACATTAATAATTGACCTCTACGAGTGCTACTTTTAAAAAGACTTCGAAAAAGTTCCCTATGGTCATATTCAAAGTGCAGAGTACAACTGTATACACTGTTTAATATAAACTTTTTTTTTTACCATTTCCTTTACCATACTAAATATTTAGTATGCAATTATGCCCCATAAGGACACAAAAATAGTAAGCCTTTAAAAAAATGTATACCAACTTTAAACCCTGCACAAGATTTATAAATGTGCTTTCCATCTTGCCGTTATGCTCAAACCTTCATGGACATAAACCGTATTTAAGTTCATATATTACAAAAACCAAACAATATGTGTATTGTAAAATATATTTTAAAAAAACAAAAACAACATTTTAAAAAAATTTATGCCTTGCACTGACAAACATATAAAAATAAATGAATAAAATGTGTATCTACATCCCTTTGATGATTTAAAGTGACACTAAACTCAGGCGTTAAAACTTAAAAATGAATTCAAGTACCTTAACTATTACCATAAATGTATCTTATTTGTGTGTCACTCAGCTGTAGATACTCAAATCATCTCTAAATTGGTGCAGACACTGTCCTTCCTTCTGGCGGGGGGCTACTTTTGTGCCTCATGATCCCTGTGTGTGATGTAAAGTAATCACCGCTCCAAGCTCACTCCCGTGATGGACTACAATCTCACGTTTAGCTTACCAATTTGTATTGAGATTGTAGTCCATCACAGGAGTGAGCATGGAGCGGTGATTACTTTACAACACACACAGGAACCATGGGGAACAAAAGTAGTCACCCTCCAGAAGGAAATACAGTTAAAATACATTGTTGTTAATTACATTTTATGATTATGTATTAAATAAAGTATTAAATAAAATAAAGTGTATTTAATTTTACTTTCTAAAAAAAACAAAAAACGCACTTCTGGTAAATGATCACATTCTAGAAAACATAAAAATTGTGGAAAATGTTTGAAATGGTGGTGGCCATTTCTACATTTAACATGGGATTACTAAAACAGTGCGTGTGAGGGCAGAGGCATTATAAACCTTTACAAAGCAAACTCAAACTTTATTTGCAAGTACTACAAATCTTTAGCTGTCAGCATGCGGAGTGTATTAGTAATCATGAAATATTAATTTTAAGATGCGCAAGACTTCACTGTGGCACAGTGCACAGGACATGCACAGCTGAATAAGCAGTTCATTATCCAGTGAACAGTAAGGAAGAAGGCTCCTACCAAATTTAGTCAGCAGAAAAGTTTAGTAGTCAGAAAACTCAGATCCAGTAAGACAAGTTATACAGGAAAAAAACAAAAAATGCATAGGCAACTTAAATCCTACCTTTTTATAAATCTGAATGACATGTTTCTAAAAAATAAAATGAAGTAGAAAAATTAAAATGGGCAAAGTTACAAATAAAAAGTGAAACAAACAGTCACACCTAAAACATGGAAATGTATCAAACACCCAGAAAAAGAAAAAAAACACCGCAGGGATGTCAGTTTTTGGTCCAGATAATTTTTTTTAAGGCTGTATCTGGATTGACAGATTGTTTTCCATTTTCTTTAACCAATGTTACAAATTCAATTTAAAAAAAAAAAAAAAAGACAGCCAATGCATTTTGTAGATGTTTTAAAAATGGAATTACATAGAATATCCAGCTTTGGACAATGGTTATTACTTTTTTTTTTTTTTCAAAGCTCTGTTTTGTCCCAACATTTATGTGTAGATCCCCCATTCTTTCATGAGACATTTAGTTCCAACCACAAATAGACTGAAGTAATAATGAAAGACTAAATATTTGGTAAGCCTTGACCTTTGTAGTGAGGTAACGCGATTCAGTTCTTTGCTGCTGGAAAGAACATGCATATTCTTATCA